TTAGGGAGAAGTTCATAAGCAACCAAGGGATTGTGCTGGGTGTTAAGGGGTCTATAAGGGGCCGGCAATCCCTAAAAAAGGCCTAGATAAGCCCTGAAAAGGACGCCCCTACAACCTTCTTCTCGAGCTCGTATACCCCCCCCCCCCCCGTATCTCACCAACAAAGTCCCGAACGGAAACCCTAAACCCGAAACCCTAAACCCTAAGCCCTAAACCCTCCGAGCCCTTCTAGGTCCTGAGTTGGGCTTGCCCTAGGAAAAACTGAACCCTAAAATTGGGATCATGCACCCCAGACTACCATGATCCCCTTCTCAAAATTTCAGTCTATATGGAATCACTAGGCAGGGTAATTAGGGTTTCGGGCTAACCCCTGTAGGGTTTCATTTGAATTCCCAGGATGATGCAGGTTTCGGTTGTCACAGTCGGGTCTTCAGGGCGGCTGTGCTAGGGGATAGGAGTAGGGGGACCCTTGGGGATATAGACCCTCTGAATAAGGTCCCTTGTTAAGAGAGCCAGAAGAGGGTTAAGAAGGGGTTCCTTTTTCAGGGTCCCCCTTATCCCACCTAGGATTTGCGGCCGCGGCAGCGTTGCAGGTCGAGTCTCGTCTGCGGGACCCCAAACACAACACCCCTAAACCCAAACCCTCAACCCTAAAACCTAAAGCGGCTGCAGGCGCCCAAGCCGTAAAACCCGAAGAACCTAACGCCAAGAATCTAAGACCCCAAGTTTTATGTTTCGAGTTTAGGGTTTAGGATCTAGGGCGTAGGGTCTAGGGCTTAGGGTCCACTCCTAATCTCCATCCTCTCTCCAAGCCACAAGGCCGGAATTCGAATAAAACCACCCCCCCCCCCCACAAAAAACAAACAATATTCTTCCTTATAAGGGTACTATAGCGATTGTCATGTTTTTCGGGGGGGGGGGGGTCTTGAGCAATTCATCGTCTACTATTTGCTTAAGAACCCCCCCCCCATTATTAAAGATGATAATCCCTATATTGCCCTTCTAAGGAAGAATCTTTCCCATTTTGGTGGGGGTTCTTCGGCAAATAGCAGTCCTGCACATGAGCCTCTTAAACACAAGAAGGGACAATATGAAACTTCCCAAGGGCCGAGTAAACCCTAAACCATAAACCCGTATCAATTCCGGAGGGCCTGCGCGATCTATTCCAGGACCTGGGCAAGGACGCGGGCGGCTGAGGGCATTTGTCTTGGTCAACGTCGGGCTCCTGGTTAAGAGGTTACGGCCTTGAAAGTTGGTATGTTTATGGCAGGGTGGTTTTAGGGTTTAGGGTTTATAGGGTTTAGGGTTTAGGGTTTACGGTTTACGGTTTAGGGTTTACAGGGTTTAGGGCCTGTTTATTGAAGGACTCTCATAAGCCTAACCCTTTTAGCCACCCAGGCTGTCGGAGGTGGCGGCGGACCCGAAAAGCCCTAAACCTTGACTGGACTAGGGTTTAGGGTATAGGGTTTAGGGTTTAGGGTTTAGGGTTTCGGGTTTAGGGTTTAGGGTTTAGGGTTTAGGGTTTAGGGTTTAGGGTTTAGGGTTTAGGGTTAAACCACACTTCGTCTTCGGGTATGAGGTTAGACAAAAGGAACGGGAACCAAGCCTATGTGGTTGAGGGATTAAGGGTTCGGAGGTTCACTAGCCCTTAGGCTATTCTAAGCCCTAAACCCTAAACCCGAAACCCTCAACCCTAAACCACACACCCTATATAAAAAGGCCTTTGGTCCCGAAAAGCCCTGAAATAAGAGTCCTTGGAGCCTTAAGGGCTCGGGCTCCGGAGCTAAGGGTTTAGGGTCTAGGGGACCCTATTTACCTACAGTTCAGTAGCAACTACCCTGGACTAGTAAGTATGACTCAGAAAACTGTAGGTAAAGAGGGTCCCAGTAGAGCCTCTAGGATTGAGGGTTTAGGGTTTAGGGTGTAGGGTTTAGGGATTCTGGTCTATATGGCGTAGAGTGCGGAACATATCAGGTCCACGTCATTCCATCCTCCGCTCCTGCAAACTCCCTGACGACGCCGGGCAGTTCTGGCCGTCGGCGAATGTTGGGTTTACATAAGGTCGGTATCATTCTATATATATATACATATACCAATACTGATATCAGTATTCATATAATATGAATTTCAATATTCATATTCAAATCTATACTAATATATATATATATATATATTTATTTATTTAATTTATTTATTTATACATAGGTATATAATACCTACGCCTAACTCCTACTTACGACGCCCACCCCCCCCCCCCCGGTTATACACTAATTTCCTGGGTTTAACAGGCCAGGAGAGCCAGGAGAAATGCATAACGGACCCTCATGACATGTGATCGATTTTTGCCTTTGTGCTCTTCGGTCGCTTGTAATCACAGAAAAAGCCGATCCCCCCATGGGCCTTTCAGGCGTGAGGGTGGAAGAGCACCTAATAACGGAACGACGAGCTACGATGGCTGAGTTGGCAAAAGAGTTGGTGGCAAAGTGTGAATCTCTATGAGGAGTTTCTTGGGGACGTGCTGGGACGTGGGCTGCTGCGGGGATCTGAGAAATGTAAGCCCCCCCCCCCCCGCCCTATACATTCCGTAATTTCCTAGAAATCCTGGGGCTGCCTCCTACAATTCATGGAGCTGCATCGGGAGCCGCAGAATGTATGACGGACCCCCCCACCCCCCATACATTCCCCGCCTCCCTATTACAATGTTGGGGATGTACCTCAAGAGACCAAGGCCTGGAGCCTGGAGCTGAGATCCAATGAGACTGTCTGCTCGTGTTGCCCGTATCTACCCACCAAGCTAGGCATGTACCTCCCAGTCGTAACATGAAATTCGGCCGGGCAATGTCACAGCTTGAATCCATGCAATGTCGGCACCTCAGACCTCACTATACCGACCCCCCCGTTATGCATTTTTGCCGTGGTGGCCCAATTTTCCCCCTAAGTACCCCCCCCCCCCCCCCACTAGACCTAGGGCCTTAAAACTCTACAACCCTAAACCCTAAACCCTAAACCCTAAACCCTAAACCCTAAACCCTAAACCCTGACCCCACTCAAACTTAAACCCCAAAAAACTATGTACCCCACGCCGGCCGGTCTCATACGAGTAAGGTCGGTTTGGGAATGTGCGTGAGCTAGGGTTTAGAGTTTAGGGTTTAGGGTGTAGGGTTTAGGGTTTAGGGTGTAGGGTTTAGGGTTTAGGGTTTAGGGTTTAGGGTTTAGGCAACTATAGCTGACGTAGATGTACTGCTCTACCTGCAGGAGATCCTCGCTTGTACACTCTGATCACCGAAAAACCCCCAATGTGAAGACGGGTCAACTGCTGCCGAGGTTTAGGTTTGGGGGCTGCAGTATCTTCGTCATGTATAACTCCAAATTCAGTGGTGTACAGGCGCATAGGTTATGAGCCCTGAACCCAACAAAAACTCAAAGATGCCTCCAGGCACCGTCAATTACCCTAATCTCTAAAAAAACACTATATAAGCACCATCAGCCCTAAAAGCCCTATATAAGCCCTAATCCCACAAGGCGGGCGATTTCTAAAGCACTGCGCTCCTGCCTAAAGGGCTGGGCTCCTTGCCTCCGATCTCTAAACTCCTGCATTACCCCCTTTCTACTATTTGCGTAAGAGCCTCCCCCGCCCCCCCCCCCCCCAACCACAAAATGAAAGAAAATGATCCCTACATTGCCCTTACAAGGAAGCACATGTCGCAGTTTTTGGGGTTGTTGCAAACAGTAAGTTTAGGGATGAGAGATGGAGTACCCATCCCGCCGAACGTATACGTCGAAAGAGACTCTCATAATATACTACTGGTGCTTTTTGTAGGCAATGGGGCTTACGTCAAGGAGAAGGCGTTAAGCTCCAGAAACAAAACCCTAAACCCCAAAACCAAAGCACTGAGCTCGGAACTTCCAGCGTCGTTGCGGGCTGTGAACGTGCCAAAAGCCTGCACAAGCCGACCCAATTAGGGTTTCGGGTTTCGGGTTTAGGGTTTAGCTTGGGGGTTCATGGTACTTCTTAACCAATCATAACTGCACTTGTTAGGGTTTAGGGTTTAGGGCTTAGGGTCTAAGGTTTGGGGTTTAGGGTTTAGGGCTAAGCAGCCTTGGGAGTCTTAAGGGGTATAAGGAGGGAACCCTAAACCCTAAACCCTAAACCCCAAACCCTAAACCTCAGGATGCATTGCTAGCTCAGGGGTGTGCCGTCGCAACGGCCGCTGCGCGGCAGCACTTCCGAGACGAACCCTAAACCCCAAACCCTAAACCCTAAACCCTAGAGGGGGACCCGTAGTCTTAGTCCTGTTTAAGCCCCGATATACACCGTCTAGGTCCCTCCTTGCACCCCTGAAGCCTTAAGGTCTAGGGTTTAGGGTTTAGGGTTTAGGGTTTAGGGTTTAGGGTTTGGGGCTTATGGCTTCAGAGAACCGCTATATATACCGCTATATGTACCTGAAAAAGTCCCTACATGCCTACGTAGCCCCTAAACAAACCCTAAATACCCCAAAAGGTGCCTTCTAAGGGTCCCTCCTTTAGTCCCTGAAGAACCAAATGCACCCAGTGACAGCGTGACATACCAGTGCATGCTCCAGCCCCGGCTTCCAGCCGAGAGGCATCCAGAACAAGCAGACCAGGAAAACCAAAGAAAACTGAAACCCTCCTGCAAATGCCGGAAGAGCTACATTGAGCTCAGGCCCGGACCCCAACTGCATCTGAGGACTTTGCAGGAACAAACAAACAAACATGTCCGAGCCAGACATGAGTGCATATAGGGAAGCACCCCATGTATGGAAGATGCCCTTCTGAGAGCAGGAATGCGAGGATGCTTTGCCTCATGGGGCCTCAGAACGAGCTCACTTCCCGTGCGGTAGCAGTGACGTCCCCTCGGAACCGCGGGCGGAAGACGCGGCTGAGCCCATCCACCGCCCCGTCCCCCTACGGCGGGTCCTCCCGACCGCAGCTGCTGCATAGGATCTCAGGACTCAGGACCATCCAGGCCAACATCCCACCTAGGTATCCCCGAGCGCAGTCGTAGCGAGCCGCCGCCTCAGAGCAGCCTTTGCCCGGTGGGACCGAGCCGCCACACACAGTTCCTGCAACAAGAGGGAATGTAGCAAACTTGGCATCTCCCCAGTGCGGGCTGCTACAGCGCGAGCGACGTGCTTGATGACGACGGCAGCCCCAGCATCCCAATTGCCCGTCGTTTCTGCCACCATGGGCACGAAGGTGACCCCCTGAGCCTCACACGTTCGTGCAGTGCTCTGGTGGTCCTCCTTGTGTCGGGCATACGCGGCCGCTGCTGCTCCAGCCTCCTGACCCGCCAAAGCCAAGGTCTCTTGCCGCTGGGGCGCCGTGATGGCGAAGTCAAGCGCGGCAGGGGACCCGGCTAAGGAAGGCACGTAAATGTCAGCCGGTCGCCGACGAGCCAAGTGGGTGTCATCCGGAGACTGGGGCAGGAGCAACCCCGGGCGCTCCTTTTCGGGACGGAAGCCCGCCCGGTCCAACCAGGTGTAGAGGACATCCCGGACAGAGTTGTGGCGCAGAGTGCGCTCTCCACCAGCAACACAAGTCGCAGCGTGGTGGCTATGTCGGTCCAGCACACCATCACAAAGGGGGCACCAGCAGTCCTCCGCAGCATCGGGCACCCCCAAACGAAAGCGCAACTCAGCGCAGAAAACTGCTGGTTCGAGCCGTGTCCGACCGGAGGGCGTAGCTGCCAGGAAGGCCCTGGCCCCGAGGCCAGCTTCCGAGCGGAGCACCGCCCTTTCCACCAAGGAGGCTTGCACCAGCTGCGCTTCCCAGCCGGCCAGGTCCACACGCTCCGAAAGCGCACGCTGTTTGGCCGCCAAGGCTTCGCACAGGGACAGGGCTGAGTCTTGGGGCAGCTCCCGATTCAGCGCCCGCAGCGCGGCGGCCACAGCAGGCGAACCGTGAACGGCCTGGGCAGAAAAAGCACGATCAATGTCAGCACAGTCGGCCAAGCTTGCTCCAAGCGACGCCAAGTAGGCAGCTGGGGCATGCACCAAGCTAGCGCGCAAGCCCAAGCCCGCCTGCCCAACCCCCCGTGCAGCCTGTCGCCACTGCCCAGCAGTAAGGTGAAGGCCGGTCAAATCACCGAAGCACCGTTGCACGTGGCCATCGAAAGTGGCCAGGGCAGCGGCCTGGGCACACGGAGGGTTGCAGCGCATGCTATGGACCACGCGAGCGAACCCTGCACATGCTCGGAGGAGTCGGAGGCCGACTTGCGGGTCCTCCAGCTCCGCCACAGCATCCAGCAGCTCGCCAGCCTTGGCTGCCCGCGCCGCAGTGTGGGCGCAAATGTAGCTGTCCTCCCCAATTGCTGCACCCAGAAACTCGAAGTTATTGACGAGGACACGGCTGGACCCATCGGGCCGTTGCAGCAGGTTGGCAGGGAAGTGCGGCCGAAGGAGCTGCGTGTTTGGGGCACCAAAAACCACCAACTCGCACTTGTCAAGGTTGAGCTCCAGGCCAATGGCTCTAGAACGCGTTTGGGCAAGCCGGAGCGCAGCCCCTAAGGGGGCAAAGTCGCCAGCGAGCACCCCGTCATCCAGAAAGTGCACCGCAAGGTCCAGAGAATCCGACCGCAGCTCCGCAGCCAGCGGTTGCAAGGCCAAGGAAAACAACAAGGGTCCCAAGGGATCTCCCTGCTGCACACCAGCTGACGACTCCAAGGCGCGGTCACCGAATTGCAGGCAGCTCGGCTGACGGTAGCACCAAGCAGCCCAGCGGGCCAGGGCCGGGAAGTGGACGACAGTCTGCTTAAGCACTTCCTCTCTGCTCACACAGTTGAAGGCATTGCGGAAGTCAAGCTTCAGGAGAGCTTTATGCGACGAGCCAGAATGCCTGGCACTCCACGCACGTACGGCGTGCACAGCTTTTTCAGCACCTCCTTTGACAGCCACGCCTACCTGAGCAGGCCAAAAGAAAGCACGTGCCTCATCCTTGACCACTGCCATTAAGCACTTGCCCGTGAGGCGGCGGAGCAGCTCGCCAACCGCAATTGGCCTCACGCCACCAGCTGGTTTAGGCAATGCCACAAGCCCTGCGCCAGCCAGCACAGGAGCTATAGTTGCAGGGGCCCGCCCCTGGGCCATGAGGTTGACCACATCGGCGAGTTGAGCCATGAAGCTGTCACCCCCACCCGCAACACAAGCATCCCGCAGGTGCTGCACGCGAAGTCCTGTTGGGCCTGGGGCGGTCTCAACTGGAAAAGCTCGCAAGCAGCGGGCAACCAACTCCGGGGCCAAAGCAGGAGGGAGTGGCAAGTCACCCATGGCCGGTGTGGAAGGCAAGGGCCGGTGAGGGTGGAGGGCAGCAAGAGCTTTGGCAGTTTCCTCGGTTTGAGGGCAGAGACCCTTAGACATGAGGGCAGCGCAGGCCTTCAGATCAAAGCCTTCACGCCCCCAGCTGGTGGCAATGTCCCGGCGCTCCTCGGGCGTCAATGGTCCGGACCGTGGGGGCCGGCGGCGAGGCCTGGACTCCCAGAGTGAGAGGCGCTCGCCTTCCTGCCATCGCTGAAGCCTGTCAAGAGTGAAGGCAGCAGCAGCCTTGCGGTGTCGCCGACCCCCGCGCCCCGGCGCGCACAGCACACATTGTGGCAGCATCAGAAGCTCCAGCCACGCCGCGACATCATTGCGGTGGGCCACAGCAGCTAGCGCCCGAGTGAGAACCTGGTTCCAGGCGTGCCGCGCAGCCATTGGGATGTGACGGAGGGTGGACGTGCGTGCAGATTGTATGGCAGCCAGGGTAGGCAAGGCAAGCCGTCCACTTCCATGGCGTCGACGTCATCCACGGCAGCTGCCCTCGCCTCTGGACGGCAGGTTGGGTGGACGCCATAGCGCTCCGACACGCTGAGCCCACACACAGGACAGCGGATGCGCCCACGGGCCTGCATCCAGGCAGCGGGCACGTCCCCATCCAGTGAACCAGCTAAATGCGCATCAATATGGGCACGCATTGAGCTCTCATTCGCCCAACCGCGAGCACGGGCCGGGTCAGAGCACGGGCATCCGGCAACAGGGCAGTAAGCGCGCCCGCCCCGCGCAGCACCGGCGCCACCAGGAGCGGGAGCTCGAGGAGGCGGTGAGCGCTCGCGGGGCGGGCGCTCAGACCCGATAGGTGTTCCTGGCTCAGGCCCGGGATGGCTCGCTTCGCCCACGCGCCGGCCTCGCAGAGGCCATCCCATCCAGAAGGACAGCTGCGGCTGCCGCTGCCAAGTGGTCCTCTGCCGCTCACACATATGCCCACGCCGTCGGCGCCACCGTATCACCACCGCCCCACCTCGCAGACCAAGCAAAGGATCCCATACAGGCAAGGGCGTCACCAGGCAAGACACCTGTGCGTTGAGCAGTTTGGTGAGGCGACGCCTGTCACGCCTGCCCAAGCTATCCGGAATCAGCCCGATGGAGTCGGAGCATTCCCCCTCCCAGGTCGCTGCATCGTTTGTCCCCAACCACCACAAGCCCCAGAGCAGGAAGCCAGGAGACGGTGCCATGGCTCACTGTGTGGATTTCAGAAAAGTCGTCGCGGGACTTACCAAATGCACCCTGAAAGGGGTTTAGCGCTCACATTTTCTTAATAGGGTTTAGGGCTTAGGGTTCATATACCTTAAGAGGGATGAAAGTAGCATAGGGTATATGACCCCAGTTGGCTAGTCGGTTTAGGGTTTACGGTTTAGGGTTTAGACTTTAGGGTTTAGGGTGGGGAATGAGGGAATGAGGTACCCTATATCCCCCTATATACACCTTTTAAGGGCTAATATAGGGTGCCTCATTCCCTCCTTCCCTCCTAACCAACAGTAAGTTTAGCAACGGCCGAAAGCGAAACCGATTGAGGGAATTCAAGGGCAGCTCAAGGGGCACTTGGGGTTTATTTTTGCCTGGGACCCTATTTGCCTGTTCAGTTTAAGATGTTTTAAGGGTTATCCCTACAACTCAGCACCAGCGGCGAGAAAGACCGACGGTACAAGCTGGCGCAAACGGCGCCGACAGGGGCAGCAAGTACGGTCCACAGAGGCTGCAGACAGTCCTCCTTGTCTTCTGAAGAAAAGGCCGAATCAACGGCATCAGCACCACTAGCAGCAGTGTCTTCCTTGCCCAATGTTGCCGGAAGCGGCGCGGTCGCGGCGGAAGGAGCATCACGGGCATCGTCTGAGCCCCGGTATGCCATGAGCGAGCCCTTTTTTTGCATCCGCGTTGCCAGCTCGCCTTGCTGCTGCTTCGCGGACCTCTTTTTCGACGCGCGCCCGAAGCACCTTTTCGACAATCTCCTTCATCATAGCTGCTGCTGGTGGGCTTGGTATCTGGGATCCCTACTAAACAGGGAGTCCTTAGTACTAATCTGTCGGTAGAGAGGGTCCCGGGCAGGGTGGTGGGGAGTTGTGGGCGGACTAGGGAACCCTAAACCCTAAACCCTAAACCCAAAACCCAAAACCCAAAACCCCCTGCTCTGCATGGTCAGCTCGAGTCTACAGGCACGAGGCGTTGAGGTGGCCCTAAACCCTAAACCCTAAACCCTAAACCCTAAACCCTAAACCCTTCTCCTTGGGGACCGGACATGAACCCTAAAAAATTGGGGCTATAAAAACCCCTTATACTACTAGAATCCCTATTGAAGTAGAAGAACCATAAACCCTTTTAGGGCTCATTTCGTCCTTGAGCTTGGGGGGGATGAATCCTAGAAGGGTTTACGCTTCATGTACCTTGGTAAGGATTGTGGTAGAAGGTTATCCGACCCCCCCCCCCCCCCCCCCCCCACAATTTCAGATTTGGTCCCCAAGGATCATATCAGTTGTACCATCGGGAGTTTGTGCGGATGTACAGAAGCTAGACCCAAGAGCAACCTAGGAACAGAAAGGGCCAAGGGCGCCCTGTTGGGCTCAAAAAGGGCTCATTTCGGGAACCTAAACCCCTAGAAAAATAAAGAATGAGGCCCTACTCTGGTTATTATTTTGGTTCAAAGGGCTCATTTTGGCAACCTAAACCCTAAACCCTAAACCCTAAACCCTAAACCCTAAACCCTAAACCCTAAACCCTAAACCCCTAAACCCTAAACCCTAAACCCTAGAAAAAGAAGTATAATAGCCGACTCTGGGTCCCCAAGGAAGCAAGAATTGCCGCGGTCGCGATGCAGTGCAGGGTGTAGGATGGCAATAAGGCTTGTATGGGTTTAGGGTTTAGGGCTTAGGGTTTAGGGTATGGCCACACCCAGGGCTCTGATGTCGGGTTTAGGGGTTTAGGGGTTTAGGGGGTTTAGGGGTTTAGGGGTTTAGGGGTTTAGGGGTTTCGGGGTTTCGGCATTTAGGCTTTAGGGTGTAGGGTTTAGGGTTTAGGGTGACGGTTTAGGGTATAATATGGTTTCTCAAGGCTCTTTCGGACGTTGCTTTTCGGAATCCTGCGCTGGGCCATCATCTTTCCCGCGCATTCACCCGACCATGAACAAACGAGGCCCTTGAGCCACTGTCAGCTACTGACGCACTGACACTTGCTGCTGCCGCTTGAATCCGGGGCCTGCTCCAACAAACGCACAACTGCAACATGGCCACTGCTCGATGCGAGCATCAGGGCCGTATTGCCATCATCGTCGACAAGGTCCTTGTCAGCGCCGGCCCCCACTAGCCAATGCACCACTTCAACTCGGCCCTTGTCAGATGCCAGCATCAAAGCTGTTTTGCCAGTCCTGTTTGCCAAGTCCTTGTCGGCGCCGGCTTCGACAAGCGTTCGCACCACTTCAACATGGCCTCGGAGGGCGGCGAGCAATAGGGCTGTGTAGCCAGCGAAGGACAAGTTCTTATTGGCACCGGAATCTACAAGCAGACGGACAACTTCTACGTGGCCCCTGTCAGCTGCAAGCGTCAATGCCGTGTTGCCCGCCTTGTTGACCAAATCCTTGTTGGCGCCGGCTTCTGCCAGCAATCCCACGACTTCAACCCGGCCGCTGAATGACGCGAGCATCATGGCCGTGAGACCAATATTGTTGGCCAAGTCCTTGTCGGCGTTGGCTTCCATCAGCAGACGCACCAGATCAACGTGGCCGTTGTCAGCGGCCAGCATCAAAGCTGTGTTGCCAGCCTTGTTGACCAAATCCTGGTCGGCGCCTGCCTCCACAAGCAATTGCACCACCTCAGAGTTGCCCACACCTGAGAGGCCAACTGAGCCTTAAAAGGGTTTATGGTTCATGTACCTTACATAGGAACTATGGTAATACAGGGTCTACTTGGAGGTTCATGGTACTCATTCACCAATTATAACTGCGCTTATAAGTTGCACTTACAGGCCCCTTACGTGCCCTAATATGCTTGTAAGGGAAGTTATGATTGGTTAAGAAGTACCATGAACCTCCAAGAACTTCCCTAAACCCTAAACCCTAAACCCTAAACCCAAAACAGTTGGTCCCCAAGGCACAAGATGCCTGACGAAGCGGCGTCGTGCCAGATGCGTCCGTCAAGTTTGGGTCCAGAGGCAGCTGCAACATGGACTCGACCTGGAGGTTTAGGGTTTAGGGTTTAGGGTTTAGGGTTTAGGGTTTAGGGTTTAGGGTTTAGGGTTTAGGATGCTTTGCTGGCTTCGGGCCATGCCTAGTTGCCAATTTCAGAGCTACTAGTTGCGCGGGTCATCCTTGAAACGCCCACCTGTTCCACTGCGCCATCTCTGGCGGCAGCTACGAGCTCGTCTGCTTGTGCCTGCGCAGCGTCGGAGAATTCTTGCAGAACGAGGTCCAGGTCCATGGGAGAGTCAAGATTGGCAGCATCATCTAGACTGGCGCCCTGGAAAAGGAGCCGCTGCCTGAAGCGGGGCGGCAGGCCGTGCAGACTGTGCAATCGCTGCTTCACCTCCCGCACATTGCTCACCTCTGCCACCGGTATGCTCGCCACCAATGCCCCGGAGAGCATGCGGATGCGCAGCATCATGGCTGGCCAAAGCGTGGAGCAAAGCAAAGTCTTTCAAGCACAGAGTGATCCCGGATAGCTACATGTCAAGTTTGCATTCCTCTAAGCCCTAAACCCTAAACCGTAAACCCTAAACCCTAAACCCTAAACCCCAAACCCCTCCGAGCCCAGGCAGAACCATATCCAGAGGCACAGCAGCTTCGGAGGCAGGACAAGCTTTCCAGCATCAATCCCATACCTGCCGTGGACCCTACCCCTTAACCCGTTTAGGGTTTAGGGTTTAGGGTTTAGGGTTAGGGCAGGGACCCTATTTCCTTAACCCTGTAGAATCTCTCAAACTCCCTACAAGCCCTCGAAACACCCTGAACCCGAAACCCTAAACCCTAGGGTGCTGTGGCCTTTGACGGTGCTGCGAGAGCGCTGCCCTGTGGCTGCAACGCGAACCTTTTTGGAGCAGAGCGGATGCAGCTAATCGGGTTTGGGGTTTAGGGTTTAGATTTTAGAGCTTTTGGGTTTAGTGTGTAGGGTTTGGGGTGTGTCGAGTAAAGGGTCGTAGTACTGTACAAGTAGGGTTTCGGCTATCTTTTGGGCTAGGGGGTTAGGAGGGTCAGCGGCTGGTGAAGGGTTTACGGATTGATGGGTTTATGTCCCCAAATTATGGCTCCTGGCCCCACGTCCGACATGACACATATAAACCTTACGCCCTCACACGAGGTGCCCAAGAAACCGAAGTACGGAAAAGGTGCACTTTTGGTCCTGAAAGACAATAAGGATACTACTACAGTACTACTTGGGGCATCCCCAGTAATCCCTAAACCCTCTGTAAACCTTACCCTCAGGCTCAAGATAGCCCAACAGCCTTATAGAAGAAGGCCTTTGGGCCCAAAAACCCTCAAATAAGAGTCCCCGACACCCTACGCCCTACACCCTACACCCTAAACCCTAAACCTCAAGCTCTGTTCGTGGGGCATCCTAAATGAGCCCCTGGCGTCTGTGCCGTCAACGCCAGGAGGTTGGCGAAGGATCTGGGATTCTCCTGCGGGGTTTGGGCGTAGGGTCCCTGTTTCGGGGAAGGTGGGTTTAGGGCTTAGGGTTTTAGGGTTTGCTAAACCCTAAACCCTAAACCCTAAACCTAGGGCCAGGATCAGCACTTGAGGGTCTAGGGGCACCCCCGAGCAACCCAAAGAACAAAATGGGGTGTCAAAGTTTTTGCTTCTCAAAGCAATCGAACCCTGAACCCTAAACCCTAAACCCCAAACCCCAAAACCCTAAGCCCCCCAAAGACGGCAATGAAGGCAATCCACTGAGCATCCCAGAGCCTCCTGCACAAAAGGACTGTGGCTTAAGGCTTTGAGTCCCGAAGCCCCGGGCATGATACCGCACGGGTTGGGTTTAGGGTTTTTTCGGGTTTAGGGTCTGTAGGATCTAGAGTTTAGGGTTTAGGGTTTAGAGTTTAGGATTTAGGGTTTAGGGTTTAGGAGCCTGGGGACCACTGTTCCCTAGCTACCCCCGCCCCCTTCGCGGTCGAAGTGATTTCGTCACCTGCTACCTGCATAGCATATGCGTGCCTGTCTTCTGAACCCCTCCTAAACGTTTAATTTTTAGGC